ATGTTTACCAGGAACTTGGGGTGCTATCCTGGCCAGGAGAATTGAAAGCTCAGAAGTAGGGTGGGACTGGAAGCTTGAGCTGTTTCCACTGCTCCTTGGCCACTGGGGAGCATGCTCAGCAGGTCTTTGAAGCAGCCAACCCCGGGAGGGCTGTCCCTGTGAGGAGAGGGCCCAGAGGGCAGAGGGTCCTGCAGAGGAGAAGGGTCAGGTGAGGGGAGGGAAGAGGAAGAGGAAGAAGAGGGCTCATCCAAGCAGACAGAAGCTCCTTGTCTCTGTGGGACCTTTGTAAATTGGGCAATATTTGGCAACAATACATGTTGGCTAATGAAACCACTGTTTTCCTGCCTGGTGCCCTTCAGCAGATCTTCCCTCCTAATGGAAGCTTCCAGGAGCCCACAAGCGTTCCCAGACTCTCAGGGCCTTTGGCTGTCTTCAAAGGGGCCAATGTGGGGCCAAATGTGAGGGCCTTTCTCTCGAGATCATTGTGTTGGGATTTTGTGGAGACTTGGGTGGGTAGAGACACAGGCAGCTCTCCAGCCCTCTCTCCTTCTTGTCCATTCTCTGCCCCTCTCTTCAGGGTGACCTGCAAATAAATGATCATTACTAAGGCACCAAGGCCCTAAGGAGTCACCGGATGGGGTCCTGGGTGGATTTCTGGCTCTACTCTCCACTGCCTGTGAGACCATGAACAAAGTGCCTTGCCCAAGTCCACTCAGCTGGAAACAGGTGTAACAAGCACCTTATGATATTTCCAGAGCATCAGAAGACAGCTGATGTGTGGAAGGGGCCAGGCAGGGCCTGCTTCATGGAAGGGTTCAATTCTTTCTGGGTTCCCTTTCTGCTGAGATCCCTCGGCCTCAGTCTCTGCATCCTGAGCTCTCAGAGGGTTCTTGGCCTGTAAAGGAGAAAGCCCCTGGCCATGGGCCTAATGGGAGACTCAGGGATAGCAGTTGTATCTTATTCAGTGTGTGACCTCAGGCGACACTCAGAGTACCTGTTTTTAGAATGGAAACAGTGACTGTCTTAACTCACAGAGCTGTTGTTAAAGCCACATGAGACAAAGTCACTGACAGCACTATTTGAATTTTAAAATGCCGTCCAAATATTAAAGATTATTATCCTATTTCTCTGCTAGGGATGGCACAGCCACCCACACACAAACACACCTACATGAACGTGGACATTGCATGACACCAAACAGTGATGAACTTAGGCAGCTGTGTGCTTGTCAACCGGCCCTCCAGGGGCGTGGGGGGAGGAAGCCCTGATTTAGAGCATTTGCTAATTCCATGGCATAAATACATGCCTGGAATCTACTATGCCTGACATCAAGCTGCCATCAGTTAACCCACCCCAAATCCCTAAATATCTAATTAAGTGGCTCTCAAGTCAGCAATCTCACACCACTGGCAGGGAAAAGAAATGGCCAGAGTTCTCCCGTCTGCCAGGCTATTGTCCAAGTGTGAATAGATGTCTCAGGAAGGCCTTTTCTGCCTTATCCCACCTGGAGCCAGTTCTACACAGATCTCACACTTCCTTCCCAACACTCTTCTTGGGGTTTGAAACTAGAGGCTCAGTGAGGGCAGGGTGTGAGGTTTACTGGCTTGCAGGGAGCACTTAGGTTGGCCAAAGACTATTGCCTGCTGGTGGGGCTTGGGCCTGCAATTCTGTAAAGGCTCCTTGGGGGATTTTTGAGGGTGAGGGTAGAGCAGGGTTAGGGGGAAGGGAGGCAGCCTCCTACACCTGCCTGTTGAACACTAACTCTTGCCACTGCATGGCGGTTCCCACAGCAGCTACCTTGTTTGTGCTCCTTAAACTCATGCTACCGTCTCAGCATTTGGAAACCTGCATTCTGCTTCCCTGCAGGCTTTTCGAGATCTGACCCAACTCCTGGCACATTGGAGATGTCCCATAGACCAGTGGTGAATGAATGGATAAATTAATGAGTCCATGTACACAGGCTTTGGCGTGGCCTGGCTTAGCCAGCCCTGACCCTCACTGTCCTTCAGACCCAACACATTACAAACAAGATCCTTTGTCCCTTTCTTAGCCTGTTCCTCTTCTTCATTTATTCATTCCTTCAACCGATATTGATCTTCAAGTGCCTATAACATGCACAGAGCTAGCTGGCCAAAGGATTTGAGGGTGCCTCTGTGGCTCTTTGGTGGGTTTGGTGGAAAGTGGTAAGAAATATAAAAGAAGGTGCAGGGTTGGAGGGACTATGTGAGTTGCATTTTCGATATTAAATTTAGGTGCCTTCAGGACCTGCAAGAGTAGCTATCCAGAGGCAGACGAACACATGATGTGGAACTCAGGATAAAGGAGGAGGATTTTGTTAATCCTTCTTCCAACAAGAGTTCCAAGCCATGGTTGGCTGCAATGGCTTATGCCTGTAATCCCAGCACTTTGGGAGGCAGAGGTGGGAGGATCGCTTGAGCCCAGGAGGTCAAGGCTGCAGTGAGCCGTGATTGTACCACCACCGCATACCAGCCTAGGTGACAGAGGGAGATCCTGTCTGTAAAAAAAAAAAAAAAAAGAGAAGAATTCCTGGCCAGAAAGCCAGAGTGACCTTTTGTTGTCCCTGGTGCTCAGGTAATTGGTCACTGGGTTCATGGCTCCCACGCCTTTACTTGTTTGGTTGTTTACTTTACAGAATGCTCTACCTGTAGAAATCCTACCTTCCTTCAGGTACCCAGGCCAAATCTTCCTTGAGTTCTTCTGGAGCCCTCATGATGGGTGCTGGCCATTCCTCCTCTGGGCCCTCACACTCGCTTGGTTTATGCTGCTTGGCCTCTTCTTAGGGAGCCTCTGTGATAGAAGTGCATTCCTGTGCCCGTCCCTCCCCCATGGTCCTGTGAGCTCTTGAGGGCAAGGACACACCCCTCTTCTCTGTCTCTCATGGCATCTACCAGTTCTGGCATGAATGAATGAATGAATGAATGAATGCTGTTAATAGATCAGTTAAACTTCATTGTTTTGGGGGCAGACTCATCCCCTACATCAGCCTGCTCTGCAAATGGCCTTGCGGGGCTGCTCTGCCTGTGTCCAGATGCGCACACTCCTGCCCTGGGGCTGGGCTGTTCCAACAGGCGCAGCAGGAAAACAGTCTGCCCTGCTGCCTACCCATCCTGCATTCAGGGCCCTCCTTAAGCTGAGCCTCTTGGTGGTGCCCCCAGGTTCTCTGTGTTCTTGCCAACACTGTAACATACTTAAGAGGGTCCAGGGCCCTCTGACCTCCCAGTCATCCTTTTTTAAATTTGCACTCAGAAAAAGAGACATGGGTTATGATGTTTCTTAATTCTTTTATAATGATGAAAAGGCAAAGTCTAGTTGCCAATTTAGGTACAAAGACGCTTCAGCACTCCTGGGAATTAGTCAATTTTGCATTTCTTCAGTATTTTTGAAAGAACTTACTGCAATTATTGATGAAGGCAACTTTTAATGGTGCAATATCATGTTTCCAAACAATGAGAGACCTTGGATCTGTTACCGCAAAACCCAGCTGGTGATTCTAGCACCAAATCTCAGACCCCAGTCTCATGGCAGGCAAGCAGGATCCCTGATTAGCCTCAACCCTGTGCCTTGGCAGGATCATGCCCAGAGATGGAGGGGCTCCCCAGCCTCCTTAATGGCCTCTCCACCTTGGGCTGCGCCTGCTTCTCCATGGCTGGATGCCCACTGCATGCTCACTCTTGGCAGAGCTGACTCCCTGGGGCATTGCCCATCTGCTCCAGGAAATGCTTTTTAGTACCAAGTAATCTACACAGAGTCAAGACCGGCTTATCAGAATAATCAGATTTCAGAGTCACATATTGGCCAGACTCACCTGCCAAGAAAGGTGTTCAGGTGACTTATTATTTCCCTCACTGTTGGTACCTTTTTTCTTCACTTAGTTATCTCTCTTTTTTTTTTTTTTTTTTTTTTGGTGGGGGTTACAGAGTCTTACTCTGTTGCCCAGGCTGGAGTGCAGTGACACGATCATGGCTCACTGCCACCACCATCTCCCAGGCTCAAATGGTCCTCCCACCTTAGCCTCCCAAGTAGCTGGGACCACAGGTACACACCACCATGCCGGGCTAATTTTTGTATTTTTTGTAGAAATGGGGGTTTCCCTATGTTGCCCAGGCTAGTCTTGAACTCCTGGGCTCAAGCAATCCTCCCATCTTGGCCTCCTAAAATGCTGGAATTACAGGCATGAGCCACTGTGCCCTGCCTAGTTACTCTTGGGCTAAGTTCACATCCATACACACAGGATGTTCTTTCTGAGGCCCCCAATGTGTCCCACAGGCACCATGCTGTGTGTGACACTGCCCCAGAGATGGATGTTTAGTTTGCTTCCAACTGATTAATAGCATGCAGTGGTGTCCTGGAGACATTTGCACCTGGGCTGTTGTGTGTCATGGGACTGTGTTTATGAGATGTATTCTCAAAAGCAGTATTCTAGCTTTTGAATTTTAAAATCTGACGTTTATGGCAATTGTTAAAATGAGGTTACCGTTTCCTACTGAATACTATCAACACCAAAAAAGAAGGAGGAGGTGGAGAAAAAAAAAAAAGAAAGAAACAAATAGTAGGGCATCCTAGCCATAGGGCATCTTTCTTGTTGGCAAATAAGAACTTGGAGCTAGCCTTGGGTGGTGGCCATTCCCCTCTGAGGTCCCTGTCTGTTTTCTGGGAGCTGTACTGTGGGTCTCAGCAGGGCAGGGAGACACCCCCTGGGCAGCTTGCCTGGGACTCTAGGCAGCCTCTATTTTCTCTGTCAGCTGTCCCTAGGCTGCTGCTGGGGGCGGTTGGGTCATCTTTTCAACTCAGGGCTCACTGCAGAGCCAAGCTGAAAGCAAACCCACCTGCCCTAACTGGCTCCTAGGCACCTTCAAGGTCATCTGCTGAAGACAGCAGTCTCACAGGTCAAGGCGATCTTCCAGTAAAGACCCTCTGCTCTGTGTCCTGCCCTCTAGAAGGCACTGAGACCAGAGCCGGGACAAGGCTCAGGGGGCTGCGACTCCTAGGGACTTGCAGACTAGTGAGAGAGAAAGAACATCGCAGTAGCCAAGCAGAACCAGGACAGGTGAGGCGCAGGCTGGCCTTCCTCTCCCGGCACGGTGTGGAGTCCTGCCCCGCCTCAGGGCTTTCCGGAGCTTGGATCCTCAGTAGACCTGGCCGCGGGGAGTGGGGAGGGAAGGGGTGTCTATTGGGCAACAGGGCGGGGCAAATCCCTGAATAAAGGGGCGCAGGGCAGGCGCAGGTGGCAGAGCCTTCGTTTGCCAAGTCGCCTCCGGACTTCAAACATGAAGCTTGTCTTCCTTGCCCTACTGTTCCTCGGGACCCTCGGTGAGTGCAGGTGCCTGTGGGCGCGCGCCGCCTGATGGGCGTCTCCTGCGCCCTGTCGGCTAGGCGCTTTGGTCCCTGTGTCCGGTTGGCTGGGCGCGGAGTCTCTGAGCCCCGCGGTCCCTGCGTCTGTAGCTGGGAGGCGGCCCAGACGCGGGGCCAGTCTCTTTCTAACCTGGGGAGGAACAGGAGCTGGGCTCCTCTAAACCGGGTCGGGACACGCCTAGCTCTCCGCAGAGCTTCTCAAAAGACCTCCCAGGCAACTGTCGCTTTGTGTCCCCGCTATGGATTTGGTCCCCATCATATTGTGATACGCGTTTTACCTGGGAGGAAAATTAGGCTCAGAGAGGGTGAATGACTAGCTCAAGGACCCTAGTTCAGATCCTAGCTCCTGCTGTGAGACCCCAGCAAGACAGAGCCTTTATGAGACTTAGTTTCTTCACTTAAAGAAACAGCCTAACCATGGGTCCACAGGGTTGTGAGCAGGAGATGGGGCATTCACCCACCTTCTGTGGCAGAGGGGTGGGGAGGGGTGCGGAGGGGTGCAGTGCTCCTGATGGAACCCTGTGTCAGAGAGTTTGAGAGGGAAATGTGAGCCGAACAGAAGGGAAGAGTAGAAGGAAGGAAACAATTGTTAGTTCCATAACCAAAGTAATTTCTTGGGTGCTCAGAGGGCACTCTCCAGCGCTGCACATTGGTAAGTGCGGAGCTCCCTGCAGTGCTGGGGGGGAGGGGAAGGTCCCAGGCCTCAGCAGAAAGGGCTGTGATGGGCATCAGGACTTAGGCAGTGGGAGGGGGCATAGTGAAAGCCCAGGTGTCACACCTCCCCAGCCCAGTGCAGCCTCCACCTGTCTTACGGCATCTACCTAAGGCGGGGAGCTTCCTGGATGGAAGTGGTGGCGGTGGATAGAGAACAGCAGTGTTATCCCGAACCCATCCTTGTGCCTGCCCTTCTGGTCTCCTGCTCCAAATTCCTTCTCTTGGGTGTTGGTCATCCTTCTCGTCTCTAAGACAGATTGGGACTGGCCAGGACCCGACTGTTCTCTTCCCCTCAAGCTCCCTGGCAAGTGGCCTGTTGCACAGGGTTAGGGCCACCTGGGAGGGGCAGGAGAGGAAGGAAGCCTTGCCTTCCTGGAAGTGGTCATGGGCTGTGGTCCAGGATTCTGGCTCAGAGTTGCACCGCTGGGTTTCATATTCACTTGGATCTTTGGTTGTTTGGGTGCCTACTGAGGTCTGAAGTTTGAATCCTGTAGTCAATTGGGATGGTGGCCTGCACCCCAAAGTGCCATTGAAACCCTTGTCCTTCCTGAGGCAATGGTGGCAGTTGCCCTATGGGATTCCTGCCCTGCTCCCCATGGGTGTCCAGGCTGACAGAAGTTGGGTGGGTGGGGCCAGCTGGATCTAAGCCATGTGAGCAGTGGGTGGAGGAGTCTGTCTGCCTAGCCCCCGGAGCCATGGGCTGGGAGGCACTCATGAGGTTTCCCATCAGTCTGAGCAGTCTGCCTGGGCCCTATCATGAGCTGTGTGGGTAGGTGGGGAGAGTAACTCCTGTCCTGGCCCCTGCCTTCAAGGCCAGAGCACTGCATGTCTGCCCAGAATGTAAGCTTTAGTCAGAGTCCAGCCAGGTCCAGTGAGCAGCAGTATTCACCTGACACTGAATACAAGTGCCGGGTTGAGGATTTTGGAGGGGCCAGACCCAGACCCACTTCAGGGAGTCACACAGCTTCAGAGCTGGGAGGTAAGAGCGTGGAGACTTCACCTGGTGTTTGCGGGGCTAGGGACTGGGAATTCTGGTAGGGCGCTCAGTGGTCCTTTAGTCACCCTGGTTCAGCTCCTCTTAGGGGAAGAAATGAACTCTGCCCACAGGTTCCCATCATTACTCAGCCCTCACCTCCAGCTTGAGGCGTGGTCTTCAATTTTACTCTCTCCCTTCATCCCCAGAACCCACCCATTACTAAGGTGATTTCTGATACCACCTCCCTATCCCTGCCCCCTTCTCTGTTCTCAGTGCTGTCCCCCCTCTCCACTCAGACCAGTCCTTCCCTGGTGCCTTCCTTGGCCACAGCTTCTCTGCCTGTTCTTGGGTCCCAGGTCTCAGTTCACTCTACCCCTGCCCTAGGGAGAGCTCCAGTTTCCAGCCTTTCCCATGAGTCACAGCTTCACTGCATCCTGTATAAGACCTCCCTGGATCAGCATTGGAGACTTTCCATGATCTGACCCAGACCCTTTTCTAACCCCATCTCCAACCTGTCTCTCACTTTGCCAACCTAAATAGGTAGGCTAGCCCAGTGGTAAGAGTAGGGGAGTTTAGTGTCTGACTGCTTAGGTTCAAGTCCTAGATCCAACACTTACTTATTAGCTATGGGAACTTCCACAAGCCACATAACTAGTTAAAGCCACAGTTCCCTCCCCTGGAGAAGGGAGATGTTGGCAGAACTCACAATACAGACATGTATGTCTTCATTAGTTGCTATTTGTTCTCTTTTAACACATTCACCATTCTTAGCTTCCTTCTTTTGGATTTTTGCCTCTCCAGTGAGAAGTAAAATCTAGTCCTGTCCGCTTACACATTCGTTGTGTGACACACAGTGCTGTGTATACAGCAGGTATCCAGTTAAAGCTTACTGGGTCACAAATGGCTGCATCTGATTGGGTTAATTCTCAGTGTAGGATAGTTCCATAAGGGCTTCCAAGGCAAGATTATATCCCCTGGGATTTCCCCGGGATGAGGGTGGGTGAAGGGGAGCAGCTGGGTGTCCCCAAACCCCTGCAGACTCAGCTTGGGAGTTATAGGCCTCTTGCCCACCCAAGGGCCGTGGGTGGCTCTCACCATAAGGGGATGGCTCAGAAATAGGAGGCAGCAGAGGCTGAACATTCTACCCCATAGCACATCCAAAGGGCAGAGGGCTTTTACAACTGTGTGTTTGTTTTGTTTTTCTTTGTTTGTTTGTTTGTTTTTGGTTTTGGTAACAGCTTTACTGAGGTATATTTTATATATCATAAAAAAATCACCTATTTGCCTACAATTCAATGAGTTTTAGTAACCTTACCGAGTGGTGCAACCATCACCATAAATCCGTTTTAGAACACTTTTATCCCCTCCAGTAAAGGTCCCTCATGTCTGTTTATAGTTAATCCTCATTTCTATCCCAGCATCAGACAACCACTAATCTATTTTCTTGTCTCTACAAATTTGCCTTTTCTGGACATTTCATACACATGGAATCATACAGTATGTGGTCCCTTGTGTCTGGCTTCTTTCACTGAGCATAAGTGAGGCTCGTTCATGTTGTGGGGCATGTTAGTAGTTCTTTTCACTGCTGAGTAGTATTCCATTGAATGGATGTACATTCACCAGTTATTGGACATTTAGGTTGTTTCCAGTTTTCTACTGTTCTGAATAACACTACTATGAATATTCATGCACAAGCCTTTATGTACGATAGGTTTTTATAATATTTCTTTTGGCTATATGCCTAGAAGTGCAATTGCTGGGTCCTATTGGAACTTTGTGCTTTACATTTTGAGAAGCTGCCAACCTGTTTTACAAAGTGGCTGCACCATTTTACATTCTCAGCAATGTATGAGGGTTTCCACTCCTCCACATTCTCACCGATACGTGTCATTGTCTGTTTTAGCTATTATAACCTGCTTAGAGGGTGTGAAATGATATTTTCTTGCATTTTCAATTTGCATTTTTTGACTAATGATATTGAGCACCTTTTCATGTGCTTATTGTCCGTTCATATATCTTCTTTGGTAAAATGTCTGTTCTTATCATTTACTCATCAAGTATTAAATCCTTTTTGATGTTATACTATCTAGCATTATGTCCTTAATTTCATTTTTAGATTGTTCTATGCTGTATGCAAAAATATGATCAATTTTTATATATTGATCTTATATCCTGTACTTGTTTGTTAATTCTAATAGTACTTTGTAGATTCTTCAGTATTTTCTACATAGAAGATCATGTTATCTGAAAATAAAGTCAGTTTTACTTCTTTCTTTCCAATATGGGTGTCTTTCATTTCTTTTCTTGCCTTATTGCTGTGACTAGAATCTCTAATACTGTTAAATAGAAGAGGTGAGAGTGGACACTCTCTCATCACTCCTGATCTTAGGTGGAAAGCAGTCAGTCTTTCATTATTTTAGTATAATGTTCATTGCAGGTTTTTTGTAGATGCCTTTTATCAGGCAACCAGGGAAGTAAATTCAATGCATCTCCCTCCCTAATAGCATGGATTTGAGTAACAAAAGCAGGCTCAACAGGAGAACCAGTCTTTCTGTACAGAGTGAATGGTGGTAGCTCAGGCACACCAACCAACCGATTTGTCTCCATTGACATTGACTTACCATTTACCTCAGCTACTAACCAAGTCAGGTATATTTTCCCTTGTTCTGTTGGCATTCCCTGGGAAGACATTTATGGACAAAACAGTCTAGAGAGACCTGGATTCTCAGCTGGGCTCCACACTGCTGAGTGGCGAGTCGCTCAGCCTCCTTAGGAGCCAATTTCGACGTCAGTAAAACAGGAGCAATGCCTCCTTTCCTGCCTGCCTTCCAGGTTCAAAGTTGCCAAAGCTGGTAGAAGAATTCCATAACCGATTTGAGGGATCACCATCATTTTTTAAGTAGTAGGAAACATGTCAAAGTCATAGGAATAAAAATAATCTAGAGGCACTTTCTCCTTTAATTTATTGAGAACCACAGACCTCTAGCCAATGCAGAGATCTTGTTAGTCCATCAAGATGCCTCCACTTGTGGAGAATGGCTGGCTGGACGTAGCCATGAAATGGAGAGGGAAGGAGGGCAGCTGAGAGAAAGGGAGGAGTCTGGAAAACTCGTATCAGAGGGTGCAGTGGTCACTGCCTCAGTCAGTGGTTGAATCCTTACTTCTTGTCCCCTCTCTCCCAGGACTGTGTCTGGCTGCCCGTAGGAGGAGTGTTCGATGGTGCACTGTATCCCAACCCGAGGCCACAAAATGCTCCCAATGGCAAGGGAATCTGAGAAGAGTGCGTGGCCCTCCTGTCAGCTGCATAAAGAGAGCCTCCCCCACCAACTGTATCCAGGCCATTGCGGTGAGTCAGTGCTGGGTGTTGGCTGGGACCAAGCTGAATGGAAGGGAGAGAGAAATGGAAAAACATAGAACATGGGATTTCCTTACTTCTTCCGCTTCACCTTTTGGGCAACTAAGTTGGGAGCTGTCCTCTCTCACAGGGAACCGTGCTATTTTCAGAGCAGAAAGAAAGGAGCTTAAGAGACCATGTGTGAGGAACCTGGGGCCTCCACATAAACTGTTAATAACAACTGTTCCAAAATGAAATGTAAGCACTTGTGTTTGATGAATACATAGGATCGGCAAAAAGCAAGGTTACCCAGAGAGGGAAATCCTCCAAAAGAGTTATGACCTTTAAACCCTGTGAGAAAGAAGCTTGTCCTGGTCACATTGCCACATCACATGGCTGGGGCAGGGCCTGCCAGGGTGCTGGGCATTAGAAAGACTTTTGTCCAAGACACTTTCAGAGAGAGAGAAAAGGGTATCATGACTTGTATATGATTTATGATTCCTTTTATTTTTTGAGATGTAAGATCTACTGAAATAATTTTTACTCATTCATTCAACAAATATATTCTGTGTACCTGCCATGTGCCATAATCATGTGTACTCAACTCCAGCAGAGTGGATAATGTATGTAAAAGTTCCCAAGGCAACTTCATAGGATTACCTTATAAATACAATGGAGTTATTAGAATAGTACTTAGGGAAAAATCTAGTTTAATCAATGTTTTAGGCTATTATTTTACAACTATTACCTGCATACAAACAGTACCAGCAGCTGGGTGCAGTGGCTCACGCCTGTAATTTCAGCACTTTGGGAGGCCGAGGTGGGAGGATCAACCGAGGTCAGTAGTTCAAAACCAGCCTGGCCAACATGGCAAAACCCCGTCTCTACTAAAAATACAACAATTAGCTGGGTGTGGTGGCACATGCCTGTAATCCCAGCTACTTACAAGGCTGAGGCAGGAGAATCACTTGAACCTGGGAGGGGGAGGTTGCAGTGAGCCAAGATCATGCCATTGCAGTCCAGCCTGGGTGACAAGAGCGAGACTCCATCTCAAAAAACAAAAGCAAAAACAAAAAACCAGTGCCACATCTCTTGCTTGTTTAAAATGCAGATTCCTAGGCTCTATTCTAACCTACTCAATCTGAATATATGTGAAAGAAGCCACAAAATCTGCCTTTTAAAATAAGATCTGTCTACAGCCATACCACCCTGAATGCATCTGATCTCGTCTGATCTCAGAAAATAAGATCCCTATTTGAAAGCGGTGCTACATACCATTCATGCAAATAAAATTGAGATAGATTAAATGGTTAAAAATAAAACTTGTATTATTGAAAAACTAGGGGGCAGGTTAACTAGCAGAACTGTATAGGAAATACAAATCTCTTAAACAATGAACTAAATCATGAAACAGACATTCTAAAATACGGAAAATGCAATTCATAGCCCATAGAAAATATTTAAATAAAAAATTTAGAAAGCACCAGAATGGATGAATATGCACCAGCTCTGACACATGATTACTATTTACACTCTATAAAAGAATAACTCAAGGCCGGGCGCGGTGGCTCATGCCTGTAATCCTAGCACTTTGGGAGGCCAAGGTAGGTGGATCACGAGGTCAGGAGATCAAGACCATCCTGGCTAAGATGGCGAAAATCTGTCTCTACTAAAAATACAAAAAAATAAAAAAATAAAAAAAATAAAAAGTTAGCCGGGTGTGGTGGCACTCTCCTGTAGTCCCAGCTACTCGGGAGGCTGAGGCAAGAGAATCGCTTTAACTTGTGAGGTGGAGGTTGTGGTGAGCTGAGATGGTGCCACTGCACTCCAGCTTGGGTGACTCCGTCTTGAAAAAAATAAATAAAAGAATAACTCAAATTGGAAAAAATGTAAAATCATAGAAGAAAAATGATATGAACAGAGTTACTAGTAAGAGGGAATTCATGATTAATAAAAAATACTTGTGAGATGTTCCCCTTACTAATCAGACCTGAGCAATTTGTTAGTACTCAAATTTTCTATAGTAATAACAGCTAACGAATGATAGCCTGCCCTGCTGGTGATTCAAGAGTGAAGCTGATCCTCACGGGCAGTGCCATTCTGAGTTGGTATCATAAGTCTTCTGGAAGCAGAACGGCAACGGCAGCCGGAGTCATGGGGAGAAACGTGCTCCTCATCTGGGGGATTCCACCCTCACGTGCCTATGCAAGGACACAAGTGGTCACAAGGAAAAATACTGAGGACAAAGATATTCATGAAAATACAATCTTCACAGGCAATAGTTAGAAATAAATCCAAGTGCTAAACATTGGGGGAAATTATTCAATACACGATAGAACACCCACATTATGAGAAAACATTGTGCTGTCAACAAAATCAATAAAGGCTCTGCAGAAGTTAGAAAATGTATCCAGTTTTAGATGAATAAGCAGTCCACAAAATCTGACGTATCCCGGGGGTCCCCACCGCCTGGCTGCGGACTCGTACTGGTTGATGGCCTGTTAGGAACTAGGCCTCAGAGCAGGAGGTGAGCGGCCGGCTAGTGAGCCTGACTGCCTGAGCTCCACCTCCTGTCAGATCAGCAGCGGCATTAGATTCTCATAGGAGTGTGAACCCTATTGAGAACTGAGCATGCGAGGGATCTGGGTTGCATTGCCTGTGAGAATCCAATGCCTGATGATCTGAGGTGGAACAGTTTCATCCCAAAACCATTCCCCATCTGTCTGTGGAAAAATTACGTTCCCTGAAACTGGTCCTTGGTGGCAAAAAAGTTGGGGACCGCTGATCTATCCCACATTGCAAACCAAAGAAATATGTAATCATGTGGGAAGCAATGTGCAGAAATAGAGGAACATGGTTTCTTATGATAATTTTAGGATCTCTTAATAACCATATTTTCTATCCAATAAAATAGAACTTAAATGAATATAGAGCAAAAATAGAAAGCATCTAGAACAAACAACTTCCAATACAGATGACTGTGAAGGGTGTGATCAGGAGAGTGACACAGGCAGGCAGAGGAGAAAGAGGGCAGGTGCTGGACTCAGGAGTCAGAGAGCTGGTGCTCACTGTCCCGAAACAGGAGTCCTTGGCTCTCACCATCTCTCATAGGAAGTGAGTGGATGTGATGGAAAGCGGACCCCTTTGACGACCCTTCCAGCCATGGAGACTTTCTGAGGTCCTGAAGTCCCACTTGCTGGGTTTGGGTGAGTTTTTTGCTGAAGCCGGTCTGGCCTCTTTACTTTCAGGCAAACAAGGCCGATGCTATGACCCTTGATGGTGGTTTGATGTACGAAGCAGGCCTGGCCCCCTACAAACTGCGACCTGTAGCAGCGGAAGTCTACGGGACCGAAGAAAGTGAGTTCTGCCTGGGGTCCCAGATGCCATGGTGGGCCCAGCCTGTGCCCTGAGCTCTGTGGATTGGGAGTTGGGGAACATGTGGAGGTGGAGTTTCGGTCACATCACACATGCAGGGAATGGAGTCGCTGGGCTCTGGGCCAGATGAAGGCCGTTTCTCCTGATGCTGACCCATGACAGGAGGACACATGTGAACTGCGAGGAAACTGCAGCATAGCGTTCCCCCTTCCCACTGGAGACTTTTCAGAGGGGGTTGTTTTCGTACCTCTTGTCCAGGCTAAGAGCTTTCAATTCCATCTGCCCCATTGCAGAGCCACGAACCCACTATTATGCCGTGGCTGTGGTGAAGAAGGGCGGCCGCTTTCAGCTGAACGAACTGCAAGGTCTGAAGTCCTGCCACACAGGCCTTCGCAGGACCGCTGGGTGGAATGTCCCTATAGGGATGCTTCGTCCATTCTTGAACTGGATGGGTCCACCTGAGCCCATTGAGGCAGGTAAGATGGTTGGGGGATAGTGAGTGACCTCAGGCAGGGGACTCTACTCCAGTTGTAAGCACAGACCACACAGATCATGCAGGTGAAAGTGTGGGATGAATCAAGGTGGGGGTGAGACTGGCTGGCTTGTAACATCCTGCTGGCAGGATCTGTTACTCCAGCAGCCTTTGGGAGGCACAGCTGAGTCTGCTGTCAGCAGAGGTGCATGTCTCGAGCTCCCAGCCCCAGGACAGAGGCTCTCCTGCAGGGGTGGAGGAAGGAGCCCTGCCCACGGGGACCTCAGGATGGGAGGTGTAACCCGCTGTGGCCAGGGCCGGCTCACACTCTGTGGTCCACTTCTCTGTGTTTAACAGCTGTGGCCAGGTTCTTCTCAGCCAGCTGTGTTCCCGGTGCAGATGAAGGACAGTTCCCCAACCTGTGTCGCCTGTGTGCGGGGACAGGGGAAAACAAATGTGCCTTCTCCTCCCAGGAACCGTACTTTGGCTACTCTGGTGCCTTCAAGTGAGTGACCCTATCCCCTTCTCTTCAGTGGCCAAGTGTTCCGTGGCTTCAGGCCGGGAGGCTTTTTCTCTGGCCCCACGTAAAGCCCAGCCTGCTCTCGGGGACCAGAGAGGAGGTCTGGTTCTCCTACTGCTGTGTGTCCAACAAGAGTGCAGGCCTGCCCAGTGTGTGTTCCCCTCCAGCCTTCCAGGCCCACCCTTGCCCCCAACCTCTCACCAGCCCCCCGGGCAGTCACTGTGGCTGTGGGCCCTCCTGTCACCTCAGAGAGCCCTGAATCCAACTTGGCTCCCGTGTTGTCCTGGGTTCCTCATACTAATTTCTGCCCCCTCCCTAACCACAGCAGGACTGAAGGCTTCTTGTCATGAGATGTGCAGTCCTGGCTCCTGGTTGGGCAGGATGGCTGCAGTGTCCGGGCTGATGTCCTTCTACCCACCTGGGCCTCTCCCCACAGCTGAAGGACAGTGAGCAATGCCTGATTCGCCCCCATCCTCTCTGCCCCCACGCAGAGGCTGAGCTCCCCCTTTTCCCATTCTGTCTGCTGGCGCTAGGTGTTTTTGCAGAAGGGGGCCTCCGCGCTTCCCCACTGGCCAGGGCACACCTGCACACTCAGTCCTGAGGGAAAGAGTCAGATGAACAGGAATGCTAAGCCTTTACCCTCTTGGGTAGAGGCTTCAAAACTCTCTTGTATATAGAAAAAAAGTTTTGTCCTCTTAGCCCTCAAAGCAGAAGATGGGGGCCTCTGGACAGCACCTGAGCCCTTCTTCAGAATCCACCTGGAGGGAGCCCCTACCTTCCCAGCTGGGATGCCCCAAAGCCTCAGAGCCCTGCCCCACAGGGAGTGGAAACCCACAGGTGCTGAGTGCCAGGGTTGCTGTTCCACAGGGAGGGGCCAGGAAGGGGCTGCCCGTGCTTACCCCTGATGCTTTCTCTTTTCACAGGTGTCTGAGAGACGGGGCTGGAGACGTGGCTTTTATCAGAGAGAGCACAGTGTTTGGTAAGAGCAGGGTGATGAGCTGTGGGTTCTGCCCCCTTTTATCTTACCTGATCATGACTCTGACCTTTGAGCTAATTAGATTCCGAAGTTCATGGCAGACCATTTTCAAGATTCCTACAGGGCACAGCTCTGATTTTATGAGCTTTCATATTTTAAATGATCAGGCTTCTTTAAATTTCCTGTGCCCACTGCCTTTCTCTTCCCCTCATAGACACCCACGCCAAGGTGCTTGGCAATGCATCCTCCAAGATGTATGTGCTTGTGCAGAACAGATTGTGCTGGTTTGTGTTTCTGGTTTCTGAGTTCATAGAGGTTTTAGTGAGCATTAGAAACCCTGCTGCTCGGGTTTTCTGCTCAGCATTTTGTTTTAGAGGTTTATCAGTATTGTTGTATATGCGTCTAGCTCAAGGGTCCTAACAGTTGAGGAATATTCCGTGGAATAAGTCCACATTTTACTTCTCTGTCACCATAGTGATGGACAGACAGTGCTCTCGTTTCCTCTACCACATGTAGCCACATGACTGATACCTTCACATGTGTTCCTTACTGTCCTGCTGGACAGTGTCCCTCCTGGACCTATACTAAAGCACAATTGATGAGTATGTAGAGGCTGAACACACTGCACCCAGGACCAGTGGCCATAAGCCCACTACATTCCATGCAAGACCAATAGAGACAGAGACAGAGCTACTATATTCCAACAAGGACCACCAGAGAAAGCAACAGATACCCACATTCACTCAGGACCATCAGAGACACACCCCACATCCACCCAGGACCACCAGAGAAAGAGACAACACCCACATTCACCCAGGACCGTCAGAGACAGACCCTGCATTCATCAGAGGCCACCAGAACCAGGCCTCCACATGCACCCAGGGCCACCAGAGACAGACCCCACATGCACCCAGTATTGCTAGGCTGCTGTCTAGAAGGACAGTCTGCAAGTGTTCTAATTTTCCCACAACTTCACTTAGAAGTATTTTTTGACTTTCATAGTTTTGTCCGAATGATGGTTGTAATGCAATAGATAGTTCGTTGTTGATTTTAATTTTCATTTCTCTGACATCTGTTGAGTTTGATCATCTCAACCTATTTGCTAGCAGTTTGGGCTTCCCTTTCTTATTTTGTGACATTTGACTACTTTTTAAATTGAGTTTCACATCTTGTTTCTGCATGATTTTGATTCAAGGACAGAAGTTCCTTCTATCTAGGTATCAAACCATTGCTGATTTTAAACTTCAGTAAAATCTTTTCTCAGTCAAAAATCTGACAACGGTAGTCTTTGTTGATCAAAAATCCTTGATATTGATAAGGTCAAATCCACAAGCCTCGCCCTGTTGGTTTGTAGTTTTGAGGTCTTTCAAAGATGCCCTTCTTCACACCCAAATCATAATTATTTCCTACAATAAGATTTGAAGATCCCCTTCCTCATCTATGTATATGTGCTCTACCTAGAAAATTAGATATGGATTTGGCTTTTGCATTTTATCCCCTTTACAGTGAGGCAATTTTCCTTACAATAAAAACTATACAAAATTATCTTTTTTCTACTGATATGTGAAGCCAATTCTACACCAAGTTTGTATATATCTGAGTGGACCAGTTTCTGAGCTATTTTGTTTCATTGGTGTATTTGCATTTTTTCTGCTTTTGATATTGTGACTTACATGGGTCTTACTATCTGGTGGAGAGAACAGAGAGAGAGAGAGAGAGAGAGAGAGAGAGAGAGAAAGCCAGTGAGAGGAAGAGAGAGAGAATGAGAGAGACCTCCTTCTCCCCTCTCACTTTATTATTCCTTTTCAAATATACTGAGCTAAAACTTCAGAATTATTTTGTTGAATTTCTGGAAATTTTGATTGGAATTGTATTGAATTTGAATTGTTGCATGAAAAATCAGCATATTTATAACATTAAGTTGTCCAGTCCATGGTGATGCTAAATTTCCCCCATTTGATCACATTTCTTTTTAGCTTCTTTGATAGAACTAAACTTCTTCCTTTATGAGTCTGATGTGTCTTTGTGGGAGGCTAATTATAAGCTACTTAATGGTTTTAGTTGCTATTGTAACATCTTACAGTCCACATTGGTTTCTATTTGGTTATTGTTAATGAGGATAACATCAGATTTTTGTAGGTTGCTCTTATAACTTGTTACTCCTCTGAACTCCCTTGTTAGTTGTATTAGTTTCTGTTGGTTTTGTTGTTTTTTTTGTAGATAATTATATCATCTTTTTAAATAAGAGTTTGTCTTTTTCCTTCCAGTGTTTATATCCTTTATTTTGTAAATTGTGTGATCCAGTTGTCTAGAATTGTGTTGGCATTGTACTAGTGGGCATCTTTGCCTTGTTCCTGATTTTGCGGTGAATGTCTAAATTTTCTTCTTTTAGTAAGATTTTTGCTGTAGATATTTTGATTAATGGCATTTATCAAGTCAATAACTTATGGCCCGGCGTGGTGTCTCACCCCTGTAATCCCAGCACTTTGGGAGACTGAGGTGGGTGGATCACATGGGGTCAGGAGTTTGAGACCAGCCTGGCCAACATGGTGAAACTTCATCTTTACTAAAAATACAAAAATTAGCTAGGCATGAGGGCGTGGGCTTGTAATCCCAGCTACTCGGGAGGCTGAGGCAGGAGAATCTCTTGACTCCAGGAGATGGAGGCTGCAGTGAGCTGAGATTGTACCACTGCATTCCAGGCTGGGCAACAGAGTGATACTCAGTCTTCAAACAAACAAATAAACTAACAAAAAGGTTACCGGTTCTATCTATCACTATTTTTCTGAGACTGAAAAAAAGCATACACACACACACACAAATAGATGTTGAACATAAACAGTCCTTCTGCGTCTATTGAGATGAAGATGATCTCATGGTTTTCTTCCACTAAATGCAGATTACTTTAGTTTTTTTTTTTTTTTTTTTTTTTTTTTTTTTTTTTTGCTGTTCAGCCATTCTTTTGTTAATAGAATAAACTGATAAGCCTTCATCCCAATCTGTTAGTTTTTTAAATACTCCGTGGGACTGAGTTAGCTAATTCGTTATTTATAATTTTTGCATTTATGTTCGTAAGTAAAATAAACCTTTAATTCTTCCCTCCTGTACTTTCTCTAATTTTGACATCAAGGTTGTACTAATCTCATAAAATGACTCAGACAAGTTTTTTTTAATCACTTTACACATTCTGAAGCAATTTATATATGATCTTCCACATTTGCCTGAACTCACTCATGAAACCATTCTTTCCCTTCTTTTGATATACTCAGTGTTGGAAAGTGACTCACCTTCCTGCCTTATTTCCTGCCTTATCAACATTTTTGTCATTTTTCTTCTTCCCAGAGATGTGGGTAAGGGAGTAACCCTTGGTGGCCCCCTGGGCTTGTCTCTACAAAGTGACTTTTCCAGGCAGAGATGCTGCAGAAACAGACGGGTCTGGTTCGGCCTTTCTGACCTGCAGGGGAACCGCAGGGCGCCCTGAGTGATTTAGGAAAAGGATGACACTTCGGCTGCCCCCTGAAGCTTTTGGGGCACTACCTTTACCTTTCTGAGTGTTCTGGAGCAAATCCCTGCCTTTCTGACCCTCAGTTTTGTGAGTTGTGCAAGATGTCTCCCCAAACTCAAAATTCTGTGGGGAGAAGGAGAACTACAGTTCGTGGGTACTGCTGGAGTTGGCTCATCTAGGCTCCCTCCCACCTCCCCTTTCCTGCAGAGGACCTGTCAGACCCGGCTGAAAGGGACAATTATGAGCTGCTCTGCCCAGACAATACTCGGAAGCCAGTGGACAAGTTCAAGGAGTGCCACCTGGCACGGGTCCCTTCTCATGCCGTTGTGGCACGAAGTGTGAACGGCAAGGAGGACGCCATCTGGGAGCTTCTCCGCGAGGCACAGGTATCTTCACCCATAGTCCTCCCCACTTGCTTGGATTTGGGGGGCGGAGGGCAAGGTTCCTTACTTCCCTGACTTCTGCCACTCTAGAAGTCCTGTAGCCTTGCTGCAGGATAGCACACTAATGCATTGGGCTGCTTGCCCAGGCTGTACTCTGGACAGCAGAAGCAATGGAACTCCTCTGCCACACCGACTGGCAGTGTCTTATGATGGGAGCAGAAGCAGGGGGTGGTCGATGCAATCTTCCCAGGGCCCTAAGGTGCTTGAACCTCAGCAACTCTTCAAAGAATGAGCCATAGCTGCTGGGTCTCTGGGATGGCACGAGTCCCTCTGCAGGAGGGTCGCAACTGAGGCTCCTGCTCTCAGTTAGAATGATCCCAAAGCTCCAGATACTCTTTTTTAACATCTTTTTTGTTTCCTCCATATTTACCATTGACACCATAATTCTATTTTTTCTTAATTAGGAGAAGTTTGGAAAGGACAAGTCACCAGCGTTCCAGCTCTTTGGCTCTCCGAGAGGGCAGAAGGATCTGCTGTTCAAGGACTCCGCCATCGGGTTTTCGAGGGTCCCCCCGAGGATCGATTCTGGGCTGTACCTTGGCTCCGGCTACTTGACTGCCATCCAGAACTTGAAGGAAAGTGAGTGAGCCCAGGAGGGTCCTGAGGGCCGCCTGGTGCGGTCTTCTACTTCCCAGCAGGTGGCCCTACTTTGTGGCGGTCACTGCTTTTCCCAGCCACTGTGGGGTCATTGTGGAGGTTTGATGCAGGTGTGGGTGTCTTCTGCGAATGAGGTCAGGTGTCTCTAAGAGAATACTCTGGCCACCCAATCAGTGCACACTAGGCTCCCCAGGCTTGGCAGAAAAATCAATTTGCCTCCTATTAAGTGAGAAACATGAACATGAACCAAGAGAGCCAGGACCCCTTCTGGATGAATCCGGAGGCCTGGTGGAACACCCCCACTTCCCAGGCCCAGGCCTTGAACTTAGTTGGGGACACCATGGTGGGGGAACTCAGCTATGGCTCCTCCTCTGATGGGGGGCTGGGAGTGGGAGTCTGGGGGAACCCAGAGGCTGCACTGTAGTTATTGGTGGTGATTGCAGGTATTAGGGGAAGTCAGGGCTGGGCTCAAGGTCCCCTAGGCCATCTCTTGGGGCTGTCACTGGTCTCTGGGTCATGGAACTTTTATCCTTAGAGACAGACACAATAGGCACCTCCTGACACTAAAGATTAATGGATAGATTAGAATCCAGGGAACTTCTCCAAAGGAACAGAAACGGGAAACACAGGGAGCTCTGTGGGCCTGAAGAAGGCGCTTGGAGCTGAGAAGTGGAGGAGGAGAGGGCATGGGTCCACACGTCCACACATCTACTGTAGCTCCTGTCCCAGGGAGGGTCTGGGCAGGACCCTGGCTCTGGGGAGGTTGGACAACCTGGCAAGGTTCAGGTTGCCCGGCCAACCTGCGGTCTTCCCTCTGGCAGGTGAGGAGGAGGTGGCTGCCCGGCGTGCGCGGGTCGTGTGGTGTGCAGTGGGCCAGCAGGAGCTGGAAAAGTGTGACCAGTGGAGTGCCCTGAGTGAAGGCAATGTGAACTGCTCCTTGGCCTCCACTGCGGACGACTGCATCGCCCTGGTGCTGGTAGGGGGCTCCATCCCAGGGGTGGGCGGCTGGCCCTGTGGAAGACCCAGGGCCTGAGCATCTGCTTAAAGTGAAGTCAGCAGTCAAAGAGGTCACATGGGCCCGAAGGAGGCAGGGACACCTGGAGGGTGTGCTCAGGGACATGCATCGTTTTAGGTTCAAAAAGCGGTTTACTGTGGGTTTCCCACTCCTCTAATTATAAGAACAACTCAGGATTATTGTAAGGAATTTGGAAAATATGGAAAGGTATGATGTTAAAACAACAACAAACCCCCCAAACCACCTGTGATCTCACACAGAGGGACAGACATGGTTAAAGTCTGGCTAATTCTCCATTCCAGTATTTCTCTGTGCGTCTACAGATATGCATGCAACAATAATGAAGTGTTTCAGTGATGTCGTTTTTAAGCCCTTTTCACTAAACAGCATATAATGGACATTCTTCCACATGAATGTTTACTCTTAGAAAACATTAATTTTTCTTTTTTTTTAAAGAGAAAGATTCTTGATCTGTCACCCAGGCTGGAGTGCAGTGGTACTACCACAGCTCACTGCAGCCTGGAACTCTTGGGCTCAAGTGATCCTCCCATCTCAGCCTCCCAAGTAGCTGGGGCTACAGGCATACGCCACCATGCCTGCGTTATTATTATTATCATCATTATTTTTGCAGCAACAGAGTCTCGCTTTGTTGCCCAGGCTCGTCTTGAACTCCTGGGCTCAAGCAATCTTCCTGCTTCGGCCCCTCAACGTGCTGGGATTACAGGTGTGAGTCATAGCACTCAGACGAAAACATTTTTTAAACATGCTTCCAGGGTATCTTTTATGTGAATACGGCTCAGTTTAGTCATGCTCCCATTCCTCTTTGTCCCTTACTTTGCTATTATCAATAACCCTGTGGTGAGCATTCTTGAGTAGAGATCTTTGTCCACATCTTTATTTTTAATATAGTTGTAAAAAATTTTACTGGGCCAAAGAGGTCATTTCATACTCTTAATGAGTCCATGACCCTGTGTTGCAGTCTGGACTTGTTCATTCTGGTGGTGGGCCAATGTGATGGCTTCAGCTTATGTGTCGGACAACTTCTGTGTAGCGCTTGGAGCGCAATGAGTTCAGATTAGATGAAGCCAGCTGTTCCCATCAGTGTCCTCAGTGAGTGAGACTGCTCCAGGAGGGTGTCCCCAAAGTGCCAGGGGGCACAGAAAAGGTTTTGCTCAGAGGACAGAGGATTAGTGCAAGCTGTGCCTGGTCTTTCCAGTTGAATTGATAGCCCACAAAGCAGGCAGGGCTGCAAGAGAATTAGAGGTGCACATGGTGTTCCCTCTGGGTGCTCAGTTCGAACAATCCATCTCTTTCTGCTGTTTCACTGGTCACCTGACAGAAAACCATTCTCTCAGAGAGCTGTACAGACAGGCAGGATGAGATGCAGCCTCCCTGTGGTGCTGGAGATCTGCTCTGTCTTTGCAGAAAGGAGAAGCTGATGCCATGAGTTTGGATGGAGGATATGTGTACACTGCAGGCAAATGTGGTTTGGTGCCTGTCCTGGCAGAGAACTACAGTAAGTGGAGTTAGCATTCTCTGGTGTATTCCCTCTGGGTCATGGGAGTGGGGCAATGAGTAATCCCATTTGATGAATGCAGGTGAAACGTTATGATGGACAGATACATTCAAAAGGGAGAATCAGGGAAAGAAGAAGGGAAAGGGGCCGTGTCATCCACAAAGGCCTATTGTGTTCAGAACTAACAAGGGACAGATTGGTTTTATCTTCTTAATTTTTCAGAAGATCTTAGTGAATGATAACATACAAACAGAAAAGTGCACATAAATGTACAACTCATTACACTTCACACACTGTATAGTCCATGCACTCGGGCCCAGATCAAACGCTGTGCAAGTTTCAGAAGCCCCCTGTGTCCTCCTGTCCCCCACCCCCTTACTCCTACAAGGGAAGCCTCTCTCCTGACTTCTGAGGGTGCAGGTCTAAGTTTGTCTATGTTTTAAACTTCATGTTAAAGGAGTTGCACAGCATGTGTGTGTGTGTTTTTTTGGTCTGGTTTCTCTTGCTCATCTTTATGCATTTCATCCACCTAAGCGTGTAGTTGCAGACTGTTCAGTCTCGTCACTGTGTGAGTCTACTGTGATTATTCAGTCATTTGAGTGTGAATGGGCATTTGAGTAGTTTCCAGTTGGTGGCTGTTGTGAATAGTGCCACTGTGCATCTCTGTGCCATGTCTTTTGGTGACCATATAGACGCATTTCTCCTGCATGGAACTGCTGGGACGGTCTCTTTGGATTTGATTCTACATCATTGAGATTTAAAAGTTTGTGGCTTCTCACTACATCTGAGCGGATAATGATGTCTTGCTTGTCTTTATTCTTTCAGAACCCCAACAAAGCAGTGACCCTGATCCTAACTGTGTGGATAGACCTGTGGAAGGTGAGTTGGCATTAGCCACTTTCAGGGTCAAGGATAAATTCTTGTTGCTAGAAGAGGAAGTGGCAGGAACTGTAAAAAATAGAAAGAATTGCAGCCCTAGAAGCTATAGGGCTCTAGGAGCCATAATTTAAAGGGTGCAAATAATTTATAGAGGAATAGTTCCAATGAATGTTTATATTGACCTTCACACTTGGCAAAGAATATCCACATAGTCCCTCATTGTGTCCTGGTCATGGACTAGGGGGTGCTACTCCCCCCATCATGGGGATGAGGAAACAGTGGCACCGACAGACCCCAAGTGCCCAGGATCTCACTCACAGCCACAGGTAATACTGTGGTAGATCCTGGTCTTGACCCAGGGTCCCTCGTGTCAAATCCAGTGCTCTGTGCACCACTCCCCCTGCCCACCAGAGCTGGTGCTTGCTCAGTTTCAGAAGAGACTTGCCCTTGGTGGGTGTCTGTCAGATGCATTCTCTCAGGAGGACAATGGCAACCATGTTGAGTTCAACCGGTACAGGGCTGGTTCAGACTCACCTCAGGCCGGTCCCTGGAGAAATGCGCCCCTACACCCACACAGCAGTTACTCGGCTGGATGTGGGTGCTCTTGCCTGATGCACACCGTGGTTGGTGATTTATGTACTGTTGGGGTCACTCTTGTTGTTTATAGTGTTTGTTGCTTTAGAAGCTTCCACTGAGAGACGCGTTGCTGGTTTGTAACTCAGGGACATTGTGTGGCTGGTTGAAGACAGTCCCCTGTAATCACTAAAAGAATCAGCTTTTCTAACTGTTTTATTTCATAGCTCAGATCAATGTCACCTTAACATAAGGCAGCAGCTTATGCTTTCTCGGTCTACCTGAAAAGGTCAGTTCTTTGTGGGAATCATTGCCTGGTGATGCTTCGTGGCCTGCTTTGGCCTGGGCTGCAGACAGCTCCACTGGAATCCACATGCCGGGCCTCCTGGAGGTTAAGGCTTGTTTTTCTGTCGTCTGTTATGCCAGGATATCTTGCTGTGGCGGTGGTTAGGAATTCAGACACTGGCCTTACGTGGAACTCTCTGAAAGGCAAGAAGTCCTGCCACACTGCGGTGGACAGGACTGCAGGCTGGAACATCCCCATAGGCCTGCTCTTCAACCAGACGGGCTCCTGCAAATTTGGTAAGGAGTCCCAAAAGTGTGGTGGGTGGGCCACCCTGGAGGTAGGCACATTGTGCTGTGGAACCTTAGCAAAGGGAGGGGAGGGATTTGCAGGCTGATAGTGACGCCTCTTCCGGCATAAGAAAATTCCCCCCGTGGCTGCCCCTTGGAGGCGTGGGTGCACTGGGGGCTTCCCTGCACAGCACTTCCCATGCCCCACTCACCCTACCCCAAGATTAAAGATTGGAATATCTGCCTATTTCGCTGCACCCTAAGAATAAATGCAAGTTCCAAGATGTACAAATGCTTTTTAGCTCTTGGAGCTCTAGACCTAAATTCCTCTTAAACTCTGGCTTCTTAGCTTGGGGAAAGGTGTCTGCCTGCCTCATGAAAGGTGACTCCTGTTACTAAGCAAAACTGACTGCTTACTCTACACAGCAAGGGAGCCTGAATAAGACCTCAAGAGTCTGGCTCCACCTGCTTCTGGAGTTTTCTCTCCCCACCACACCCTGCACTCATCTTAGTCAGCATAAGCCATGCCCCCCCGTGGCGTGGTGTGTAGCACCTCCTCAATGAGACTCCCCTCTTGTATGGGCGTCTCCTAGAGCAGGGGCTCCACTGCACTGGTTTTGATCATGGCTGGGGCACGCTTTCATGTGGCTCTGCTCCTCACCAGCTCCATGGTAGCCTCTGAGCTGTAGGGAAACTGCCAGGATGGGGTGGGAACCCCCAACTTTTCCCGAGGTTGACACATAGTGTGGTTCTTCCAGCAGCAGGGGTTGTGGGAGTCTGATAATGGGTGACATTTGCTCAGTGGGGCAGAGCTTTCTTGTCACCTTTGTTTATTCTTTCTTGGGTTAAATCATACAATGAGTGAATTCAGATCAGGTTCAGCTGCAAGGAACAGAAAACTCCTGAAATAGTAGAGGCTTAAACAAGACAGAAGTTAATTTCTGTGTCATGTAGTCCAGAGGTGGTCTGCCTAGGGCCGGTATTAAGACAATGTGGTGTCTGGAACCTGGGCTTTAATCATCTGGCTACTCTGCCATTTGTATGGCTTCTGTGCTCAAGGTTACCTCATGGCCTACATTGCGTCTGTAAATCCAGTCCCTGCTTCTGCATTCCATGTGCAGGATGAAAAAAGAGAAGAGAGGGCAAAAGGCATGTACCAATTGTCTTTCAAGGCTGTTTCTAAGAAGCTGGCATCCAACTCTCCTGCTGACATTTCACTGGCCAGTAGCTACCCATATACCCATAAGAGCCCCAGGGAGTCTGATAAGTCTAGTCTTTATACAAAGGGCCAGGCACCCAGATACAAAGCAGGGTTTCCATTACTGATGAAAACAAAATCAGATCCTGGACTAGGCAACTCGCAGGCTCTGATGCACACGGCCACCATGGTCATGAGCTGAGTCCCCAGCAAGAGGCTGTGATGATGGGACCCTCCAGGCAGCCACAGCTGTCATCCCCAGACTTAGTTGGGTGTCCATCAATGCCTACAGTCTGAATGAAACTTTTCTGCTGGGTCCTATGTTGGTGACAACATGTCGCTTTGTGATGGTGAGTGTGTTCTATCCGGACTGCTGTCTTGGGGAGTCTAATGAACGGAAACCAACCTGCATCAGCTGTTAGGTAAAGGCCATTTGTGTGGACTCAGGTTGGAAGAACTGACTCCCCCTGTTCCTTCTCTCCAGATGAGTACTTCAGTCAAAGCTGTGCCCCTGGGGCTGACCCAAGATCTAATCTCTGTGCTCTGTGTATTGGCAATGAGCAGGGTGAGAATAAGTGCGTGCCCAACAACAATGAGAGATACTACGGCTACAATGGGGCTTTCCGGTGAGTCTGTGACTGAGCTCCATCAGGATGGGGCCTCACCTCATCCCTCAGCATGTTGACATTGCAGTTCTAAGGGGCCAGATGTGACCTGTCACAGCAGAGTGGGGGCTCATGGGTGGCCCCAGTGAGGGCTGTCCCCACCACACCCACCGCCCTGGAGCGTGGAGGCTGGCACCAGGGCTGTCTCACCTCAGCTCCACAGTGCTTCTCCCTGTGGCTTTGAGCCAAGATCAACAGCAGTAGCCTCAATAGCCTCGTCCTGAAAATCCAATGGGTAGAGTGTGGTGCCCTAAGTGCTTTCTACAGTTTCATTTATGCGGGAGAATTCTCTTTCTCATCGCCGCCCCCTCTCTTCTCATCTAGGTCACCATTATGTTGTAGGTTTTCCCTTTTCTCTGACTTTGGCCTTGGAAATGGCAAAGAGATAGCAGAATTGCAGTGTTATTCTCCAGTAACGAAGCGAAAAATAAGCCAAAAAACAAGTTTTCAGAATTCACAAATTATAATCACTTCGTGATTTGTAACCACACCCCACGTTTTACAGCGCCCTTCATCTGGGCGTTGCTTCTCAGGGGCACGATTTACCGGTGTGAAGGGCGCAGAGAGGATCTTCCCGGGTTGCTTTTCCTCCATTTGCAGAGAGTACATTTCACCACCAGATGGCGTCACGTGTCTGAGGGTGTCTTTGAACTTTTTAATATAAATTCAACTGCCTTGTTCCAGTGATGAAATGACATAAAAGTGGCTTTTGCTGTACTCTGAGTGGCTCATAAAAAACCCAAAGCAAAAAAAACTTTTGTGAATGTATAAAAATATCTTTAAGGGACTAAGGATTTGCAAATGGAAATGTGATTCTACTCAGAAATGCTGAACACACGTCTCACAAGAGCCCGAAAGAATGGTGTGCTCTTCTGTTTTTTTCAGACCTGCAGCAAGGTATTAGTTCACTGGAAACACCCACATTTTAATATTCCTATTTATGCTGGAAGAAAATTCCTTGTTTTTTGTTTAAATTCTATCTAGAATCTAGATTGGGGAAATTTATAGCAAAATAATTAAACGCTGAAACCAGTGTCTTACCCCTTTATTTCTATGATCCTTATAATGCTGGTTCTTAATTTTTAACTTTCTGCTGACTCTGTACTATAGAAGAAGATCTAGCCTCTCACACTGCCCCCTGCACCTCTTCCACCCCACAACCACAAACTTCAACTCTTCAGCACCCAACATGCTAATGTCATATTCAGTACTTACGACTGTGTAAGCGTTATTCTCATGTTATATTTCGCTTATTGTACAAATTTTGTTTACTCTGGAGTTCATAGGTGTCTTTTCTTATCTGCTTAATTTTCTGCACTTGAAAAAAAAAAAACAACACTACTTCATCCCAAAACTCTCTGCCAGTAATGTAAATCTTCTAACAACATGCACATACACACACACACGCACACACACACACACACACACACACAGTGGGTGCTATCGCAGTTTCATCATTTACTTGGAAGTGCTGCTCCGGAATGTGTCCATCTTCCTGCTGCAGTTTGGATTGGTTGCTCTACAGGCCACCTGCACATCTGTGGTCCTGGGGGTCCTGTTGACCATTATTCTGGTGCTTCACTTTGTCTTCATGTTAGATTGCCTGTTTCCTGGATTGTATATCTTTAGCTTTCTTGGTTTTGTAATGTCTTTTATGTAGGGTTTTAAAAGGAGGACAGGTACACCTGTGTTCAATCTGCCATTATAAACAGTAAATTCCTAGAAATAGTTGTCTTTTAGATGTGTACTTCTGTATTTCAGTTTTTGGAATGCATATTACAAATATTTATGAAAGCCCTATGAGTTTCTCTTCTGTAATTATGTGCATATTTTCTGGAACATTTTAGGTGCCTGGCTGAGAATGCTGGAGACGTTGCGTTTGTGAAAGATGTCACCGTCTTGCAGAACACTGATGGTAGGTGAAGGTGTTTCCTTTTCTCCTTCAGAGCAGAGTCTTTGGCATCACAACACATCTTAGTGTTCAGGTTTGCCTTTGGGAAGGTTTTATAACACTTTCCAGATTTTTGATTAAAAGAACTCCAAAATTCTTTGTCTCAATAGACAACATGATAACATCTGTAGGTGTCATATGGATTTTGAAACCAAATTCATACACACTCTCTCACACACACACACACACGCACATACACTCACACACACACAGATACTAGCCATGCTCAGTAGCAAATGTCTCCCTGGCTTCGTCTAGTCAACCACAGAAACACGCCGTCTGCCCTCATGCATGAGATCAGGCATGCCTGTTGGAAACTGTGGATGATGCTGCAAAACTGGGTGAACACATGCAAATGAAGGCTCCCTTTATGAAAAAGGAAGTAGAGGCCTTCATTCATCCCCATGTGAGCCTTGGTCTGGAGACTCCTTGGGAGTTAGTGGGAACAAAATTACAGGTGGTTGCAGATGACGGAAGATAATCTTCCAGTCAATGTTTGAACAATCACTCTCTCTTCTGGTCCTCAGCCATTTGCTACCTTCCAATCTGTCTCTGTCTCCTTAGCCCCACTTCAGCATTCCCACCCCCTAGTCTCAGCAGGTGACTTGCTATTTTGTTCCCTGAGAAAGAACTGCCTCCACTTTCGGCCTCCCTCCTTCAGCAATCACTGCAGTCACAGTCACTTCTCCCTTCTGCTTTTGCCCCTTCTAGAGTCTCTTGGGATGGAGATTAAAACCAGACATGTAAATCTGAAAGTATTTCAGTATGAAATAGAGGAATCCAAGAGAATGAATAAAGTGCTTTCTTAAAGGGAGAGGGCAGAGAGACAAGCAGGAGCCTGAACAATGAGCCTGTATCTGCACAAAGTAGACATGCATACAATTACATTTAGAATTTACAAGCCATTCACTAAAGTAATCTCCAGGGATCAGATTGATGTCAAATTTAATTTTAACTTTCTCTGGTACTTTGCAACTGTATTTTGTTAGAATTGACTATATATATTTGATAAACCTACAAAAGTTCCTTTCCTTTCTCTGGTTACACTAATAGCATTTGAATATGAAAGGGAAGAGAAACCGATTTCTCCTTGAATGTAAACCATCTATTCTTTTTCTGGAACTCACTGAAAAATATGGCATAGGTGGAGGGTTTTCTTCTTTAAAAAAAATAAGAACTCGTAACAGCTTTATTGAGGTAGAATTCATATACTAAAAATATCCACCCATGCAAAGTGTACAATACAGTGATCTCCGGCACATTCACAGAGTTGTGCAGCCATCAACACAGTCCAACTCTAGAACGCTTGCATCATCCCATAAAGAAACCCCTGCGCATATTATCAGTCATTGCCCCATCCTTCTTCAGCACTGGGGACCATCAATCCACTTTCTGTCTCCATAGGTTGGCCTATTCTGGACATTTCATATACATGGAGTAATATAATATATGGTGGGTTTTTTTTGAGATGAGGTCTTGTTGTGTTGCCCAGGCTGGTCATGAACTGCTAGCTTCAAGTGATTCTCCCAGCTTGGCCTCCAAAGGGCTGGGATTACAGGCATGAGCCACTGTGCCCAGCCTATTACGTGGCCATTTGTGACTGGCTTCTTTCACTTAGCATCGTCTTCAAGGTTCATGCATGTTGCAGCATGTACCAGAACTTCACTCCCTTTTATTGCTGAATAACATTCCACTGCATGGACACAGCACTCATATTTGGTATCTTTGAAGTTTGTACAGCTTGTGTAGGACAAAGCTCATTTTCTCTTCCTCACATCACCACAACCCCAGTGTGTGCATTTGAGAGGTCAGTGGGATGGCCACACCCATCCGGAAGAGACTTGGTGGCTGAGCAGGGGAGCCGTGGATGATGCCACCTTCTTTTTCTCCCCAGGAAAGAACACTGAAGCATGGGCGAAGGATTTGAAGCTGAACGACTTTGAGCTGCTGTGCCTCGATGGCACGCGGAAGCCTGTGACTGAGGCTAGGAGCTGCCATCTCGCCATGGCCCCGAATCATGCCGTGGTGTCTCGGACAGATAAGGTGGAACGCCTGAAACAGGTGCTGTTCGACCAACAGGTATGGACCACAGGGCTTCTAGTGCTTTCTTAGCTGTGTGGGCTCTTGTTAGGTGGGGAGATCCCAGAGCTGGGCGCACCAGCCCACTCGCGCCTCTCTAGTCCCTCTGCTTGAAGCTCATGGTGACAGTATTGGCTTCATGCCGTGGGGTTGCCCGGAGTGTCAACAAGAACATCAGAGGCTTTCGACTCTGGGCTTTCTGGGACTCACTCGATTTCGGCTGAGTCTCTGTGCCCTGGCCTTGTTGTCCTCACTGCCTGGCTCAGAGACTGTCTTTTTCCCTCCTGCTGTTCTTCTGGCAAATGAGGGAACCGCTGAGCCTTCCTCCCACACTCCTTGGTGTAGTGCTTTACTCAGGTGGTGTTTCCTGAACCTGGGCCGTCTGAACAATGCTCTAGGCCAGGCCTCTAAAACAGCAAACCCAAAATGTGCCCTATAGATTCAGGGCTACCTAAATGTGATTTGAAGAAAATCCCCACATTTTCTTAAAATCTGGGATTTTATTAGAACTTCTATTTTTATCATATAGCATCATATCTCTATGTGTGCTTTTAAAGAAAACAACCCAGGAATAATAAGACTGGCCACCATAACCGGCCTTTATGAAGCCCTTACTGTGCGTACACACTGGTGCTGGTGAGAGAGCTGCCATGACTGAGGGGTTTGGGTCTCAGTCTCCCCACATGGGAGCCTGGGACAGAGCAGGAACTGTGTGAGGGAGGCAGGGTGACCGGCCTGCACACTGAGCTGGTTAGTGGCCGAGCCTGGGTTTTCCTAGCAGCCTGCCTCTCTAGAAAAGCTGCATATTAGAATGTCCTAAGCAATTGACTTGTGAGGGCAGATCTCAAAACCCCTCTGCTGTCACCTTGTCACCCATAAGAAGTCGTATGGGAAAAGGTCGCAGGTTAAGAAGGAAGGAAAGATGGCAGATAGTAGGAGGTAGGACCAGAAGTGGTGTGAGGCCTGGATGCTGCCCAGGGCGGGCCTGCCAGCAGGAATGTGGGGTGGGGGACTCCACTAAGGAGGTGGAATGACTCCGGAACTCAGCTCCTTCTGCCCCATGGTTTTCTCAGGGCTGTTCTTGGGTGGGAGAAATACCCCTTTGCCTCCTTTAACCCATGAATTCCTCTTTTCCTTAGCTACTCACTGTCTGCCCTTTTGTTGCAGGCTAAATTTGGGAAAAATGGATCTGGCTGCCCGGGCACGTTTTGCTTATTCCAGTCTAAAACCAAAAACCTTCTGTTCAATGACAACACTGAGTGCCTGGCCAGACTCCATGGCAAAACAACATATGAAAAATATTTGGGACCACAGTATGTCACAGCCGTTACTAATCTGAAAAAGTGCTCAACCTCCCGTAAGTAGACCCTAGCTAGTATCCCCGAGAAACCACCACTGGTGAAGGTCAAGGTCTGAGGGCCAAACAGCATTCTAGGAACTAACACAGGTGTAAAAATGTTAAGGAAAGATAATATCTCTTTATAATTCAGGACATTCTAATCTCATTGATAAAAGAATTGGAGAATAAAATAGAGCAGTATGTAATATTTTTTTATAAAGTTTATAGTACTGATAGTGACTGCTCTGTCATGATGTCTTTGGAAAATGATAATCCATTTTATTCAGTAAAGTGAAAAGTGTATGTATACATATGCATTAAGAAGTGACAAAACTGGCCAGGTGTGATGGCTCACACCTGTCATCCCAGTACCTTGGGAAGCAGAGGTGGGACAGAGGTGGGAGGATGGTTTGAGCCCAGGAGTTTGAGACCAGCCTGGCCAACACAGGGAGACTTTGTCTCTTACAAAAATAATTTTAAAAATTAGCCTGGTGTGGTGTCAAGCACCTGTAGTCCCAGCTACTTGAGAGGCTGAAATAGGAGGATTGCTTGAGCCCAGAAGGTTGAAGCTGCAATGAGCTATAATTGTACCACTGCACTATAGCCTAGGTGACACCGAGAGACCCTGCCTCAAAAAAAAAAACACAAAAAAACAAAAAAACAAAAAAACAAAACTGATCTAGACAGTTACCACTGATGCCAACTATTGAGAAAACAAAATCTCAAAAAAATTCAAGTGTAGGAAAACATATCTTAACCAGGGAAATATATTGATACTAATTTAATCCCTTAAAATATTTAGAAGACATCGCAGAGTATTGTAAGGCTCCCAGTTATAATTGTGGGATTTCAGTGTGCACAGCTGCTTGTGCACTGCAATCATCCAGATTCCTATTCCTGGTCCCTCACCCAGAGTCAGAGGCACTGGGCATGCTGTTGGTCCAGGCATGGGAGCAGGGCCAGGAATGTCTTTATTGGTGGTTTTCAATGAGAGACAATTTTTCCCCTGAGGGAACATTTGGCAATGCTGAGAAGCACTTTTGATTCTTACAACGTAGAGGGTGCTGCTGGTACCAAATATATTATAGAGGCCGGGGATGCTACTAAACAAAGCACAGCCAGCCCCCTGCAACAAAGAGTTATTATCAGGCCCCAAATGTCAATAGCGCCAAGGTTGAGAAACCCTTTTCTATATTGACCAACAACTCAGGTCACTGTGATGCAGGTCATGACCACCTTCTGAGAAATATGGCTACAGGGCTCTTCTTGTGAGCAGCCAGTTCAGGACTGCATAGACCATGTGCTTCTTGAGGGCAGGCCTGTCTATTCATGCTGAGTCCCCAGCACTTAGCACAGCAACTCACACAAAGCAGGTGCTCAGTAAGGATCTGTGAATGAATGAGTGAATCTGCAGATGAGCACGATTGCAAACAGGTTCACATTCCAGGAGAAGCTAGAGGACCACCAATGTCTTGTGAACTTGAGAATGTGACAGTCGATTCAATTAGAGACAAGTGCAGGGTGGTTGTGTCTCTCAGGCCAGAGCAGGGAAACAACCTGGCTGGTGAGGGCTAGACTCTGGCTCCCTTGAACACCGTAGTCACTAGGAGTAGGGGAACGGGAATATGAGTGTGGCAAGCACTGACTCACAGTGATGGGAGAAGGGCAGAGAAAACTCTTAGTATCCTCTTTGATTTATTGGTTTAAATAACTGGTTTATTGATTTTAAAAAAAGAAGAAATCAGTGTCTGAATCTCTTGCTCTGTTGTGTCCCACAGCCCTCCTGGAAGCCTGTGCATTCCTCCAGAAGTAAAACCCAAGAAGATGGCCCAGCCTCCCCAAGGAAGCCTCAGCCATTCACTGCTTCCAGCCCTTCTCCCCGGGTGTGCTGGGGCCTTGGCCTCCCTGGCTGAGGGTGGGGATTGCCCATCCATCTGCTCACAATTCCCTGCTGTCGTCTTAGCAAGAAATAAAATGAGAAATATTGTTGATATTCTCTCCCTATAAAGTGTCACTCATCTTTTCTAGAATTTTATACTGAAATCACATGCCTGACAAAATACCTGTACAGTTGGACCTTCCCTTCCAAGTTTTTCAGGTCCAGCCCCTCCTCTTTCTCGCAGTCTTGGGTATGATGCCCAAGGGTCTGGAATTTAAGGCCAGGCCAAGCACCGGTTTTCCCAAGGGGATCTGGTTGGTTATTCACATAGCTGTCTCAGTGCACATGCGTGTGTGTGCCTGGGAGTGTGTGTGTGTGTGTCCCCAAGGCAGGGCAGGAAGAGCAGGCATAGGAATTACAACTGAAATGTAGGTTCAGTTGCTCATCACTTGCAGAGTCTAATTAACAAGAGCTAGGTTTGGTATAAAGAAGGTGACTTTTATTCCAAAGCTACCTTAGGGGGAGAAGTACAGGCTTCTTCCCCTAGTATAGAATGGAGTGCCATTCTTTCACTCCTGTTTCACCTTTGGAGCAGAAAGCAGAGGCTTTTAAATGGGAGGTGAGGCATGCAGGGCAGGAAGTGAGCAGGTGGGGGGTCTGGGTACTAGCTTTGGTGCCTTATCTACCAGGCAGTTGAGCTGGTTACTGCTGGTGCCTGTGTGGGCACAACTAGGTTGTAAAAGCAGCCAAAAAATTTCCAGGTGGAAGAGTTTCATAGAGGGCATATTTTGGCTTGTAAATTGACTGTTATGTCTCAAGGTAGTCTCTTGGTGGGAGAGAGTTCTGCTCTGGAGCTTCTAACTAAGAGCACATAGTTAGATGAACTTGCCCTGTTGGGAGTGTCTGGTGAAGGGGAGACAAAAGATTATAGTTGCATTTCTAAAGGGCTAAGTAGGAAGCAGAGAAAAGGAGGAGAGACAAGTGAAGACAGAGTAACTTTAAATAACGAAGATAGAAATGAAGAAGGAGTAATTTTCCTGCTTTTCCATTGGTTCTTTGGACATAACAGGCGAAAGTGTCAATCAGGGTGAGACTGTCCCTTCAAGAGCAGAGATCAGACAAGTGTCCTGAAACTCTGCCTCCATTCTGGAGGCAACCTTTTGGCCATGTTCCCCACTGTCAGTGAGATGAAAAGCTCTACTGCTGTCTGCAAAAGCCTCTAAAACCTGTCAGGAAAGGACATTAATTAAGGTCCCATAATACTAGGATGAAGCTCTTTTCCTATTTGCTACTTCAAATTATGGCCAGATGTGTTGTCCATCCTCACTAACATGAGAAGATTAGTCAGTGAGCAACATCTGATGGGGTAGCCACAGCAGTGATAATGTCAGCACTGTAAAACATGACATTTGAACAGTATGAACTTTCTTGTCTAAATAAGATACTAAAGTGAAAGTAAGGCCCACCTGTGAAATTCTCCTGTTTCAGGTTGAAAAGAAATGGAATATCATTGTGTCTCTCTGTTCATGCTCGGTTATGTTGCTGTAGCAAACGGTCTCCAAGTCAAAATCTTAGTGGCTAACATGACAAAAATGTGTTTCTCTCTTGTGTCCATCTCCATCATGGGTCAGCAATGGCTCTGTGACTCACGTCTTTATTCTGAGACCCGGGCTGAACCAGCAGCCCCAGTTTTGGGCATGTTGGGCTTGAGAGAGAGGGGAAAATAAAAGAGACAGAGGCAGCTGCTCTGCCTATGGAGTGCCATTCTTTCATTCCTTTATTTTCTTAATGAACTGCTTTAACTTAAGAAAAGAGACAGTCAAAAGCATCATACAACAATACTTCCAGTGTCTGCGTGGCAGAGGCCATATCATCTTCATCATTTCATTGGCCAGAGAATTCACGTGGCCACAACATCAATGAGGTCGCCCAGGAGGAAGAGGCAGTGATGGGGGACTGGGGTTAGTGCAACAGTGCAAAGAAAAATCTTCAGAGCATTTCACAGTGCCCAGCCAGAAAGCCATCACAGGAATGTCCCATCAGCCCACAAAGGCTTCTGTGCAGTCCTAAAGAAGTGTCCTTTGCCCAGGTCCCGCCCCCTTCCCAGAGCATGGCCTGGTGTGTGTGGCTGGATCTCAGTCCCTGTGTGCTACTCACCAGGTTGGTCGGGCCTCTGCCTGCACCGCTGCACAGACCACTCCGGAAACAGAAGATTGACTAGATGCAGGATGCTTCCTGTGATATTTCACAATTTATCCTGCATTGATGATACTTCCCCATACAGAGAACCATGCAGTAGCTCCCGAGGTTGGGTTTCCTGAGGGGGAATCATTCATGTTTGATTTCAGAAACCCTCCCTTCAGGCCGTTGCTAACATTTGCTGTGGCACCAGTCACTCTCCGAGGCTCAGTAACAGCTTCATCTGCCTCACCCTATGCCACAACTTTAAGATCGGTTTGGGCACATCCTCTTATCATTTTTGTGTGTGTCTCCTGGGGTCTCTAAGTCCCAAATCTTTCTTTAAAATGCTATTTCTGTAGAGCACCAGATTCTGTCGCTGTTCAGGGCACCACTATGTAACCCGCACGAACCTGGGGAAACTGAACAAAGGGGGCAAACGTGGGAATAAAAGACAAGAGACAAAAGAGTATATTTGGAAGAAGGGGTCGGGGGCACTTTGCCTCTAGTGGACAAGGGCCCTGAGCTTTACACAACTCTCCATATTTATTATGCAAAAGAGATAGCGAGAAGGGGGACGTGTAAGAAGGGGTCAGCTGCTCGGTCTAGAATAGGCTTGCAAGACTGCATTCTCTAGATGTTCCAGTAGATAATCTCAAGGAGCTCCACGCCAGGAAGCGATTTCCCTCAGCAAACCTTCTGGCAGTGGGAGAAGTGTTGAGTTTGCCCACATCCTGCATTCTTGATAAACAGTTTGCTGTTTGATCATGTAGCTGCTAGTGGAATGCTGAGTTGGTCACGTCCCACAGGCCTTTGGCTCCTTACAGACCCCTTCCGGGTTATTAGCCATGACTTTACCTCTTTGTTTCTCTTTTCTATACTTTCCTCGCATTCTACAAAATAAAGTATCCCTGGGCTTTAGAGTAATCTAATGCCTACTGAATCCAAAATAATCTGATTTAATCCTTGAATTTTTAAACAATTTCAATGAATTTTGTTTTTTACCAGGGTTTGGACCTCCCCCATAATAAAATCCCTTATTTCTTTTTGTCACTTCAGTATAAAATCCAACCTACTATTTTCCATTGAAAGCTGGGTCTTTCTTTCTTATTTACATAAAAATTGTTGGATGTATCTATGAACAAACCAGGGGAAATTGAGGGTGAGGTGGGGAAGTGTTAAGAAGGTCTCAGAGTGGCTGCAGACCAGATCCATGCATCCCTAGGTGAGTCCCCATCCATTCTCTCCCTCATTCTTAATGTGTTTCCAAACAGGTGAGGAACAATGAAAACCAAGTCGGACATTCTAGTGCTAATTATATAGAGATAATTTATATAAAATGTGATAAATGCAAAATATTTCATCAGAAGGAGTATTAATGTTAAATAACTTCAACTCACTAGTAATTAGGCAATAATTTTTCATCAATTAGCACAATTAAAAATTCAAGTTGCTAATGATATTCAGTATTGTGAGGATGTAATGAAGCAGATAGTCTTATGCAATATCAGCAGGACCATATTATTATACACCACCTTAGGAGGACAGTTTAGCAACATCTCTCAACATTTTAGGTGAGAAATTTATCTACAGCTGGTGCCTCGGTGCTGATGCTGGGGGCTACTGGCGAGCATGGCGCAGCATTGGATGGGGGGCTCCAGGCTTCAGGCTCCACGCTCCAGGCTGCAGGACCTGGAACTCCTTCCTGCGTCACAGCAGGGCTGCTACAGTGTGCTCTGGTGCAGAACTGGCAGGGGTGCCTGCAGGCCTCTTCTCCAGCTGTGTGTTCACTTTTTTTTTTTTTTTTTTTTTTTTTGAGACAGGATCTTACTCTGTTGCCTAGGCTGGAGTGCACCGGAGCAATCACAGCTCACTGCAGCCTCAACTTCCCCAGTTCAGGTGATCCTTCCACTTCAGCCTCCTGAGTAGCTGGGACTATAGGTGCAGGCCATGCAGGGGCTCATGCTTGTAATCCCAGCACCCTGGGAGGCTGAGGCAGGTGGATTACTTGAGTCCAGGAGTTTGAGATCAGCCTGGGCAACATGGCAAAACTCCATGTCTACAAAAAATACAAAATAATTAGCCATGCATTCACTTCTGAGGGAAAAGTCATGGACTCCGTGGTGCTGTGAACCCCGTCACTCACACCAGAAAGAACATTGTGTGCTCTTGGGTCCTGGGAAAGCTGACTGACCACCTGAGGTGACGCATACTTATTTAGTTATTTATTTTTATTTTATGATTATTGGTTTTTGAGACAGAGTCTCACTCTGTCGTCCAGGCTGCAGTGCAGTGGTGCAATCTCGGCTCACTGCAACCTCCGCCTCCTGGGTTCAAGCAATTCTCCTGCGTCAGCCTCCCCAGTAGCTGGGATTACAGATGCCTGCCACCACTCCCAGCTTAATATTAGTAGAGACGGGGTTTCATCTTGATGACCAGGCTGGTCTTAAACTCCTGACCTCAAGTGATCTGCCTGTCTCTGCCTCCCCAAGTGCTGGAATTACAGGCTTGAGCCACTGCGCCCAGCCCATGCATACGTTTTTTTCCTCAGGAGATTAGCTTTTACCAGTAAAGGGCATTCAGAATCAGTTAGCTGACCATTGTTTTCTGAAGTAATCACAGGCCAGTCCCTAGTGGGAGAAAGAAGTGGCCTCTGTAGCAGGACACCTGGAGCTCAGCCCCAGCTCTGCTGTGTGACTGTGTGACCTTGGGTAAGTGCCTTAATGTCTCTGGGCTCAGCTTTCTTTGTAGGTAAAATCAGGGACTTGAGCTTGTTCTCTCTACAGCTCTCCTACAGACTGAGTCTGTCTGCAATCACAAGGGGCAGGAGAGGAAGAGACTTCAAATGTGTTCTTCTGGTCAGCAGCTATGGGTTGAATGTTTATGTACCCCCAGCCATTCTACTGTTTAGCTTAGAGCTGTTCTCCATGTGGGACCCTTTCAG